TGTGAGATGGTACCTCATTGTTGTTTTGATTTGCATCTCTCGGATGATTAGTGACTTTGAGCATGTTTTCATATGTCTCTTGGCTTTCTAAATGTCCTCTTTTGAAAGGTGTCTATTTAGGTCCTTTGCCCAGGTGTAGGTGGGGACCAGGTGTAATTGGGGACCAGGTGTAGGTGGGGGCCGGGTGCAGGTGGGGACTAGGTGTAGGTGGGGACCGGGTGCAGGTGGAGACCAGGTGTAATTGGGGACCAGGTCTAGGTGGGGGCCAGGTGCAGGTGGAGACCAGGTGTAATTGGGGATCAGGTGTAGTTGGGGGCCGGGTGCAGGTGGGGACCAGGGGCAGGTGGGGACCAGGTGCAGGTGGGGACTGGGTGTAGGTGGGGACCAGGTGCAGGTGGAGACCAGGTGTAGGTGGGAACCAGGTGCAAGTGGAGACCAGGTGTAGGTGGGGGCCGGGTGCAGGCAGTCCACTGGAATCTGAGTGAGGCGGCTTATTGGAAACTGAAGGCTGTTAATCATGAAACCTATAATGAGAACAACAGGAACATCTCCGGGAGGGGCAAGAGCCCCAAGCAGGGCAAAATGGGGCAAAAGAAAGTGCTGAATGTGAGTCCTTGTGCGTGTTGCTTCAAGCTTCCCCCTGCCAAGCCCTCTGCATCCCTCTACAACAGTTAGGACCACCCACCCCTTCTTGGTAAATTTATGCTCTTAGGTCTATTACCTCCATATACCGTGGAAATTAAGTTAGTTTATATATATTTTTTTCTTTAGTTTAAATCATTAGTCTTTGCTAAGGAGGACTTGGTGTCTCTCCTACCTAAAATGAATGAAATGAAAATAAACCTAAAAGTTGATGAGGGAAGAGGGGGTGTATGGTACGGAAACTAGGGTGGGTATTTCTGGGAGACATTCTCATAGGTCTCTTGCATCTCTGCATTACTTGCACAGAAGGCTAACCGCCTCCCAGTCTCAGGCCGTTTTTAGAAGGATGATTGTAGCGCAAACGGCCTTTGAAAAGAGGCGAGGGAAGATTTACTTACTGTTCAGTACAGTCAGAATGTTTCTTTGTTCTGTATCGTCAAAATGTTTCTTTCTAAAGCAAAGCTCGATAGGTTTAGTTACGGCCCATTATAAGAGATTCAGGTTTATAAGCTCATGGTTCCTCTCTTATAACACCACCCACTGAATTTACAGGGATTACGTGGCTTTCTTTGTGTTGTCTTGTGAAAATTAGAGATTGGGGAACTGGCACAGATATGATCTCTGACTGCTGCTATTGCTGTGAGTAATAAAGTCCCGTGTGTTGGACTCAGAATCCCATGCCCTCTGCCAGTGTTCCTGAACCATTGGTAAGCTCATTTGAGAACTTGCAAGTAGAGTAAGATCTCAGGCCCATCACAGTTCAATATTGACAACAGGTCACTTATCTTCATCTCCAAAGATTGCTAACTCTCTTTTTGGGGCGTTCAATTTCTCTACACACATACACAGAGAGGGGGGGCATCAGAGAATGTGGGGAGAGGCAGAAGAATAGGAGGGGGGGAGGAGGAGAAAAAAGATAAAAGAGATGAGAAAGGTACCTCTATGTACTTAGTTGCAGGCAGCAGTTTAAGAAATACATAAAGGTCACTTATTGCAACTTAATTTTATAGCAGCTTTACTCCTTGATCACTTTCCATTTTATCATTAGCAATGGCCAGAAAGACTTGTTCCAGTGTTATCTGACTGATAGAATAGTCTTCTAAGTTGAATAGCACTTTAGCTTCTTCCAAAATATTAAACACCTTTAACAGAAAAAAATGGTGGTGTTATCATTGCAATATCCCCAGATGAACCTTCTCCTCACCCCTCACCCAATCATCCCCTCACTCCTGCTAGGTTTATACTTTAGGCAAAAAAATATAGAAGGGGGAAGTTAGAAAGTAGAAGGAAAAGATGGTTGGAAAACAGAGAGAAGAGGAGGCAGTTCTCCATCTTATTCTGATAGGTATGGGATAATAGCATTTAGGCCAGAAGTCTTAGTCCTACCACAGAGGACACTGAAAAGTAAGTTAGATGTTCCGTCTCTAACAACGCCAGTCCCCATTCCGCAGGCCTGAATCCTCACACTCCCTGCAGTCCTCTATTAGCACACAATGTCATATTGGTATGATTTTAATAATCACCTTTCCCCAGCAGATTTCATTTCTGGAAATGTGGTAGTAAATAATTCCTCGATACTCCTGGTTTACAATGTTACCTAAGAAAGATTTGAAAGGTAAGTAACAGGGAGGGCTCCATATTTGATGTTTTACAACATTCCCCAATAATTCCCATTCCAGTTGTCCACACCAATGAAAGAGATATCACATGCAAGTAATACAAAAGATAAGAATTCCAAAGCCCTTTCTTTTTAGCATATGTTAAGTATATATTAAGTGTTTCACTAGCTTTACATCCATGTGATGAAATATGGCTTTATTGCCTGTAGTTAGTAAAAATTGTAGAGTTGGGATAATCACTTTTAGGCACTGAAAAATTGAGCTCACATGCTCACTTTGCCAAACCTGATGTATATGAATCCTAATTTTGTGTGGAACTGTTTCTAGACATTGTCCTGAAACTATACTCAAAATTGTGGTGTGGTTTCTTTTCCCAGTTGTGTGTGTGTGTGTGTGTGTGTATGTGTGTTAGGATCTCTATGTGGAGAGCAGCTACAGTGTTTGGACAGGTTCAAGCCTCGGACTAATGGGAGGGCACAGTCCTCTCGTGGCAAAGCCATGTGCAAGTCCCAGCTTGGAGGGTAGAGCCCTCCCAGCCCATAGATAGCCAAAGGCTATAGTTGTAACCTTGACCTTATGGTCCGAACCTGTTGTCCGAACTTAGTGATGTGGGCTTGCTAGAGTTCAGGTGCATGTAATTGAGTAGATTAGAACATTGTTTAATGTTGGGGGCCAGATGTAAGCTGGCAAGGTCCTTGCACCTGCAGGGGCTAGCAAGGCCGGGACCCTTACCCACACAGTTTTCCCAGACTTGTTTGGATGGCCATTATCAGTA